GACACTTTCCACTTCGCCATGCCTGCTAGTTTTGGCAAATTCATTCACAGCAACAATTCTGAGCTAAAAAAAAAAAGAAAATATTCTTACCGGATGAACACGAAATTGATCGAAAACGCTACACAATTCATCGATAGTGTACTGTTGTAGCACCGTGAAATTAGCGAGATCTGCTTTTCGTGCGCACTGTACACAATAAACTGGAAATTTACCGTTCACTTCGCGCACGAATAGGATATTCCATACTTCGATCTGCAAAATTTACACATTTGACCCGAACTTAACCGATTAATGAATAAATATGTCTATCATATTATACTCCCTCATTTTCAACTGGCAAAGTTCCAGAGCGTGATACAGTCGTGATGGCAGTGCTTGGAGATGAGGTTGATAATGCTCATCATGCACTTGTTGGGTTCACCGGCTCAGCCCCCCTTGTTGTGTTTACTGGCCGAGTCAGGTCGTCGGCTCCTCAGCAATAACTTGGGGTAGCAGCAAGGTCCAGTCCCTCGTAAGTCGTCCACAATACCACAGCGCTACACTGGATCGACACTCCATTGGATCGACACACTACTTCGCAGTATACAAACACGCCGTCCTTATATAGGCCGCTTTCGCGCCATTACACGATTTAACTAAGAGGGAGTCATGATGCAACACACTCTTCCCATAAGGCTAAGTGTTGGGCACGCCTTGCTTAACGCCGGCAAACCCCGGTCAGATGAGTCTCTTCGCGGCTAGCTCGCATTCTTCTCATGCTGGTTCCCCGTTGCTCCGCACTTGGACGCTGACGGACATGGTGAAACTTTCTTGACATCCACACTGACGGCACAGTAACGGATAAAGGAAAAAATGAATCACTGATACTATCACACACGTTTAAATGCAATGCTGTCAGGCGCAAAACTCAACAACAATCACCGTGAAAGGAACAAATCACCAAATTAAACAAACAACGCAAATTTGCTAGAAACCTTTATGCGCCGTCGAATGTTCGTGTTTATAAGTGCTTGCCAAAATTCCTCTAACGGGAAAGCCACTGAACCGGTATCCCCATAGGTGCCGTAAGGGAAGTAAGAGACGCCAAAACGCTGTCCAGAAAGCGATACAACATTGGTCAAAACAACCAAACAGCACGTCTATCGACTACGTCATTGCAGAATGTTAAATGTTTCGAATACACAGGGGGATTCAGAACGGACTTCTGGGACAGGGGATGGGAAGGAGGGCTCGACGGCGGGGGGGGGAGAATCTCCCTTACTCTGGAAATATGCAAAAACTAGGAATAGAGTTATAACACTGCTACTTACAATTACTTTACGCTTTAGTTTAGTTTTAGCTTCAGAATTGGGCTTTTGCAGCACTGATACCTGTGTCGCTGGGGGAGGGGAGAAGAGTGGATCTGCCGAAAAATTTTGGACCGAAAAATTCCCATCCAGATTTTTGTCTTAACTTATTCACACTTCTTTTTTTATTTCCTTACATCCTACATAAACACATACCAACTAAAATTAAAATTAAAATCATTCATTACTGAACAAACAGCAGCTTTAAACATCAGAAAAAATACCGCATATGCTTCAACAGAGGTCGTTTTAAAAGTAAAATTCCCTTTCGAATTTTTCTTTTTCACTTACGTCACTTATCAATATCACTCAGACCATCAGTACAGAGCTTCCTTACCATTATAATATTCACCAAAAATCAAAAGTGGCTAAATCTGGAGGGTTTTTTTGTGGGGAAAAAAGAAAGGGCACATACCTCGCATGTTGAGCAGTAGTGTGATACTTCACCCTTTTGTCTTGGGTGCATACGGATTGGCTTATCAATGCTACTTAACATATCCATAATCATTTTGGTATAGGCCAGTGAGCGTATTAGCATTTGTCTGATCAATGTGTACATTTGTTGGTTTGTGAAACGAATATTTCTTGCCAGTTGCCATGTTAAATGCTGCATTGGTACCAGTGATTTGTAGCCCTGAAAAGAGGAGAGGCCATTTGAGTCTTTGTGTCTGTTTCTAACGAAAGCGCAAACAAACATTGTACGTGTTATTGCTCGATCTGATTCCCGTAGATCCACCACTCTCATTAGTATTGGAAAGTGTAGCATTGCTGCTGGCAAAGTGCGGCGACAAGAGGAAAGAGAAATGGAACAGTTGACTATTTTTATTTGATATTCGCGAAGAAGCCAAATTATACAATCTCATTTAAGCTAGCCGTTTTTTGCATTGAGTGACTTCTGTGTTTCATCCCTGAACTGTAAACACAGACGACTAAAATGATGCGAAACGGGGTGGGAACAGCACAGAAGATTGCAGACTTCGCGCGTTACAGGATATTACAGACTTACGCACATCCATCATACAAATTAGGCCTCTCCCACATGTTCCCTATATTTTCTACTAAATAAAATCCGATTAAAAAGAAATACAGTTCACTAACATTAAGTTTATTCCATTCGTGTGTGAAAACAGCCATTTCGTATTGCGTAGGTGTCGGTGGGCCAACATTCCAGGCCACATTATTACACCAGCCAGTGCTATGTACCCAATGAATACAACCACTTCCTACCCAAACAACATCGCCTGCTTTTTGTGTGAATCGATGTACCGGGATATTTGCTTCCAACAGCTCATCAATATCTGGCCACCATGAACCTTTCAGAAAATTTAATTTTCGCCTGAAATTTTACAAATATTTTTGAAATATTAAGACAATTTTACCGTAAAAAAATCCAGATTCAAGCAATTCTTCGCTGTGTAGAAAACAGCAACGGACTAAGCAGAATCGAGAATCGGCTGGCTACCCAAGCCGTGCTTCTTCAAAGATGTTGAGAAGACACTGCGCCAAACATTATCCGGCTAAGCTTAGATGGTACGATAACGCAGTAAACCGCGCAAAAACGAAAGTGAATGCTACATACAGGTGCATTATGGGGCCAGCATGAATGAAAAAAAATATAAAAAATGGACCCCAGCACTCTGCATCTTCCTCGACCCGGACTGCTATAATATGCCTGATATGAAGTTTACCGAAATTACACGAGCAGCAACTGGAAAGACTGGACATCGCTGATGTTATTATATGCCCAGCTAGTCAAAGCAGCAAACTGTTGTAAAACTGTCAGCTACACAGTTTGAGAACCAGTGATCATGCGCGCTTCACAAGCGTGCTCGATAGCTGAGTTTAAAGTCTTAAGCTCACACATGCATAGAGAATATCCCTACAAATTTTCAGCTTTCTACCTTGCCTGGTTCGCGAAATCATTTCCCGCCAATGAAATTTGCATACTTTTTTGGGCGGTCCGCGTACACGGGTCTAAGCGGCTGTTCCAGGTACTGCTGAGATGTTGCCTGGTTCCTAAGTTGCGAAATTTCTCACTAAAAACTTCACGTCGCAGCGATACGTGAAAGCTGAATTTGAACCATTGGGCAATGAATATCCCTGCAAAATTTCATCAACCTCCTATTTTCCTGCCTTTCAAGCGATTTTCGCACCAAAACGACTACACCCTCATGGCGTACCATGCATATATATTGGGGTGCCAGTAACAATTTAAAACTGAAACGAATGTGAACGGATCGTTGACGAGGGTTGGATAGTGCTGTCGAACTCTCGATCTAATGCATGACAACAGTGCGCTACTTTCCACGTGTTGTGCCTGCCTATTATAACTATTGATAGCCAGAGAGATTTAGAAATTGGCAAAGTCTGAAGAATCTAAATGCAAAATACCGTACCTTACGAGCATTTCATTGATTACGGACCAATATTCACCCGGAACACCGAACCATTCACAATCACCCGGACCAATGTTGATGTTGACCGACGCAAGACAATTATTTTCCACATGCCCCGGAGTACGTGAGCCAGGAACCTGCAATTAGTGGAATGGCTGAAAATTTTTCAAAGTAAACGTATTATTACTCGTGGGTACAGAGAGGTTGAATTTGAATTTGCGAGGTCACAGTGGGGGGAGGGGGAGGGGGAAACACTCCTCTAAAATTTCAGCTACCTTTTTTGGCTCCCGAGTTGAAAGATGCGGACAAAACGCATAGGACACACAAACACAAATACATATACAGACAATATGCGAATGGCAATATGCGTTTTGGGTAGCTGTTGCACAGCACAAAATGCATGAAAAAAACAAACCTTCATGTAGAGCTGAACGGTATTCATGCCGTATACTGTGTGCCCGAGATGTGTGAGCATATTACATGCAGCGACAAGTCTTGCAAATGATGGCATTTTATTCAGTTCTACTAACTGTGCCCTAAAAATCATCGATATCAATGAATAGAACTATTACAAAACTACTCCCTATGTGCCCTCTCATGATTCGTTGTGCCACTGCTAATTTCTTTTCAGAAAACCATAATATTCCACGTTTCGCATCCTATCACAATCGATCAAACAATGGAATTCTTACCACCCCATAAACGGATCCAGGGGCTCTCCTGGGGGAGCAGGAGAAGAGGCGACAGGGGCTATCGAAGAGTTTTCTACAGTAAAACAGTTGCTAACATCCCTAATCTCCTGAATCCGCCAAAGTACCGCCCAGAAAGACGATGTTAAGAGGTGAAGTTAAAGTGAAGTTTCACGCCACAGCCCCACTATATTCGTTCCCTACAAGAATCAGAGGCATTCAGAAGTATTTCAAAGGTGGCACATACCAACAACAACCCCCAGTAAGTAAGGCTGTCGATGGCTCCTTCACTCCGGGATTGCTTATAAAAAGCTGTTTGCAGAAATAGCTGCCCTACGAGCTAATAAAATTTTGCACATTTTAAAAAGGAAG